TAGTGAGCCAAGATTATGCCACTGCACTCCAGCCTGGGTGACAGAGTGAGACTCTGTCTCAAAAAAAAAAAAAAAAAAATTAACCACCACAAAAAATCAAATAATCCAATTTTAAAATGATCAAAAGAACTTGAATAGACATTTCTCTAAAGATGATATACAAATGGCCAACAAATGTATGAAAAAATGCTCAACAGCACTAATCATTAGAGAAATGAAAAAAAAAAAAAAAGAACCTACAATGAGATATCACCTCACATCCATTAGGATGATTACTACTAAAAAATTAAAAATAAAAAAAAACAACAAGTGTTGGTGAGGATGTGGAGAAATTAGAGCCTTTGTGTATTGCTGATAACACTGTAAAATGTGGCCGGGCACAGTGGTTCATGCCTGTAATCCCAGCACTCTGGGAGGCTGAGGCCGGCAGATCACTTGAGGTCAGGAGTCTGAGACCAGCCTGGCCAACATGGTGAAACTCCATCTCTACTAAAAATACAAAAATGAGCTGGGCATGGTGGCACACCCCTGTAATCCCAGCTACTTGGGAGGCTGAGGTGAGAGAATCACTTGAGCCCAGGAGGCAGAGGTTTCAGTGAGCTGAGATTGCACCACTGCACTCCAGCTTGGGTGATAGAGTGAGACTCTGTCTCAAAAACAAACAAAAAAAGACTGTAAAATGGTACAAGTGCTGTGGAAAAGAGTATGTATGGAGGCACCTCAAAAAATTAAAAATAGAACTACCAACAATTTCACTTTTGGGTATATATCAGAATTGAAAGCAGGGTCTCAGAGATATTTGCACACTCATGTTCATAGTGCTACTATTCCACAATAGCAAGGGGTAGAAGCAATCCCAATGTCCAGTGACGGATGAATGGATAAACAAAATGTGGTATATACATACAAGGGAACATTACTCAGCCTTAGAAAGGAAGGCGTTCTTGTCACATACAACATGATTTAACATTGAGGACATTATGCTAAGTGAAATAAGCCAGTCACAAAAAGATAAATGTTATATGATTCCCCTTATATGAGATATCTAAAGTAGTCAAACTCATAAAAACACAGAGTAGAATGGTGGTTACCAGGGGTTGTGGGGAGAGAGAAAGGGAGAGCTGTTACTTAATAGGTATAGAGTTTCAGATTTACAACATAAAAAAGTTCCGGAAATCTGTATCACAATAATGCAAATATACTTAACACTATTGAACTGCACAATTAAAAATGGTTAAGATGGGCCAAGCACAGTGGCTCACGCCTGTGATCCCAGCACTTTGGGAGGCCGAGGCAGGCAGATCACAGGGTCAGGAGTTGGAGACCAGCCTGGCCAACATGGTGAAACACCATCTCTACTAAAAATACAAAAATTAGCCGGGCATAGTGGCAGGCGCCTGTAGTCCCAGCTACTTGGGAGGCTGAGGCAGGAGAATCACTTGAACCCGGGAGGCAGAGGTTGCAGTGAGCCGAGATTGCACCATTTTACTCCAGCCTGGACTACGAGAGCAAAACTCTGTCTCAAAAAAAAAAAAAAAAAAAAAGGAAAACAATATGTTCAACACCATCTGCCATTAAAAAAAAAAAAAAAAAAGGAAAACAATATGTTCAACACCATCTGCCATTAAAAAAAAAAAAAAAAAAATTACGAGATGCCATGAAGAAACTTACAAATTAAAAAAAAAAAAAAAAAAGGCAGAGTGACAAGGAACCTAAAATGGCCCAGAAAAAAAAAAAAAAAAAAAAGCTTTTCAATTTATTTTAAACAATAAAGTGAAAAAAAAAAAAAAAAAAAATTAATAGAGAACATTTTGCAACATTTTAATAAAAAAAAAAAAAAAAAAATTTGCAAAACAAAAAAAAAAGAATAAGACTCAAAAAAAAAAAAAAAAAACTCTTCATACCAACAGTAAAATGCTGTATTTCAAAAAAAAAAAAAAAAAAATAAAGAAAATAGAGAAACTAAAGACTAACATATCATGTTATTTTAATAACTATTTCAATATGAAATAGTAAAACATAATGAAAAAAAAAAAAAAAAAAAGTGCTAATGACGTTTTACCGTCCTATAGATGAAAAAAAAAAAAAAAAAAAAACCAGATGTTGAAATGGTTTACGATTAGTATAAAAAAAAAAAAAAAAAAGAAAATATGTAGAAAGGTAACCACGTTTGCTAAAAAAAAAAAAAAAAAAAAGTGTCTTGTCTTTGCACTTCACTTGATTTTTCAAAATGAAATTATAATCTGTTCTGAATAATATGTATGTTTTAAAATCACAAAAAAAAAAAAAAAAAATTAAGAGCTCAGGTTTTAGAGTCAGATTTTTGAAAAAAAAAAAAAAAAAATATGGGGTCTTGAGAAACTTAAACTCTCTAAGAAAAAAAAAAAAAAAAAATAAAACAAGGATGGTAACAGTTAATCCTGTCTAAAAAAAAAAAAAAAAAATTAGACTAAGATAATACCTGTAAAGTGCTTTCAAAAAAAAAAAAAAAAAAGTAAGTGCTCAATAAAAGGTAGCTAGTATTATTGTTGCTATTCTTACTACTATTTTTTCATTATTACTGTTAATAAAATAATAAAAAAAAAAAAAAAAAAACAAAATAAAATAGGTTTAGAGGAAGTGAGCACATGAGAGCAAGGATAGGTTGTGGTCAGAGAGCAGAGTACTGGATTTCGGAGGCGGAATGGATGACATCCAGGCTGTGGTATGGGAGTTTGTGGCTAAAGTGCAGGAAAGGTAAAGGTCACTGTCTGGAGTAGAGGTTAAGGAACTGTAAAAAAAAAAAAAAAAAAAATCCATATGACGGTTAATTATCTCTCAGAATGAAAAAAAAAAAAAAAAAAAAGAGGAAGAATTTGTTGCAAAGACTTCATTGGAAAAAAAAAAAAAAAAAAGAAGATGGTAACACAGCCCTATCCTGGGCCTTCCCGGGACCCCCACCCCTCTTTTTCCCAGTTCTTGCTAGCTTACATCTAAAAAAAAAAAAAAAAAAAATAAGATCAGAAAAAAAGCAAAACAAACAACAAAAAAAAAAAAAAAAAAAACTACTATCCTACTATCATCTCCCCATAGCACCAAAAAAAAAAAAAAAAAAACCTACTAAGTGCAACTTTTTGTAGATAACACAAAAAAAAAAAAAAAAAACCTGTCCCAACACCTTTTAATACAGTTGAATGAAAAAAAAAAAAAAAAAAAACATGGATATAGGTATCACTGAAGCAGTGTGAAAAAAAAAAAAAAAAAAATATACAACACTCCTCTGCAAACAGCAAACGTAAAAAAAAAAAAAAAAAACAGATCATTTTGTTTATCTCACTATCATTTCTAAAAAAAAAAAAAAAAAATCCCATGTATCCATGCAAAGCAGCAGTACTAGAAAAAAAAAAAAAAAAAAGCTCCCTCCCTTGGGTTACTTTTTTTTTTTTTAAAAAAAAAAAAAAAAAATCACTCTGTCGTCCAGGCTGGAGTGCTGGAGTAAAAAAAAAAAAAAAAAACTCACTGCAACCTCCACCTCCCGAGTTCAAGCAAAAAAAAAAAAAAAAAATCCCGAGTAGCCGGGACTACAGGCGTATGCTGAAAAAAAAAAAAAAAAAATTTTGTAGTTCAGTAGAGACAGGGTTTCACCAAAAAAAAAAAAAAAAAAACGAACTCCTGAGCTCAGGCAATCTGCCCGCCTAAAAAAAAAAAAAAAAAAGGATTACAGGTGTGAGCCACCCGGTCTTGGGTTACTTGAGACTCTACTTTCATTTGGATCTGAGCTGTCCTACCCGCTCACTAAAAAAAAAAAAAAAAAACTTTGAGTATACAATCCATATGGGATGGCTCAAAAAAAAAAAAAAAAAAAGAAGTAAAGAAAGCCTTATGAAGACTCTGGCTTTTAATGGGGTTCCTCTGACAGTAGAAAGATTCAAACCACAGCCAATTCCAAAAAAAAAAAAAAAAAAAGAGACAGAGTCACTTCAAAGGATCTGACTTGAAAAAAAAAAAAAAAAAACATGGTGCTTTTTCTATGACACACCATAATATAAAAAAAAAAAAAAAAAAGGAGACACTAAAGCACTGATCTATTCATAAAGAAAAAAAAAAAAAAAAAAAGTTTGCATCAAATGGACAAAAAATAGTAGAAAACCTAAATACAGAAAAATTCAGAAAACTCCATCTCCTAGAAAGCAGGTCAAAAAAAAAAAAAAAAAATCACGCCTGTAATCCCAGCACTTTGGGAAGCTAAAAAAAAAAAAAAAAAAGAGGTCAGGAGTTCGAGACCAGTCTGGCCAACAAAAAAAAAAAAAAAAAAACTAAAAATACAAAAAGTAGCCGGGTGTGGTGAAAAAAAAAAAAAAAAAAAGCTACTCGGGAGGTTGAGGCAGGAGAATCTCAAAAAAAAAAAAAAAAAAGGTTGCAGTGAGCCGAGATCATGCCACTGCACAAAAAAAAAAAAAAAAAAGTGAGACTCCATCTCAAAAACTAAACTAAAATAAAAAAAAAAAAAAAAAAAAAGGGAAATTACACAAGAGAATGGATTTGTGGCCAGGGGCAGTGGTTCACGTCTGTAATCCCAGCACTTTGGGAGGCCGAGAAAAAAAAAAAAAAAAAAGAGGAGTTCAAGACCAGCCTGACCAACATGGTAAAAAAAAAAAAAAAAAAAAAATACAAAAATTAGCCAGGTGTGGTAGCACAAAAAAAAAAAAAAAAAAACTCGGGAAGCTAAGGCAGGAGAATCGCTTGAAAAAAAAAAAAAAAAAAAGCAGTGAGCCGAAATCGTGCCGCTGCACTCCAAAAAAAAAAAAAAAAAAAGACTCTGTCTCAAAAAAAAAGAAAGAAAGTCAAAAAAAAAAAAAAAAAAACCTCACTGAATGTAGGAGAACCAATGGGAAACAAAAAAAAAAAAAAAAAAAGGACACAAATAAGAGTCCATCTATATAATCAAAAAAAAAAAAAAAAAAATGATCTAAATGCTTGCCTCCAGTCTAGGGCTCAAAAAAAAAAAAAAAAAATTGAACTGGTTGTCAATCAAGGTCCCCTTCATAAAAAAAAAAAAAAAAAACAGTTCAGCCTAGAAAGAAAAAAAAAAGTGTAAAAAAAAAAAAAAAAAAAAAAATTATCTTCCTTCCTTATTCTCACCAACCAAAAAAAAAAAAAAAAAAGTTTATTTAGTGTACAAACTAGAATCACAGTTAAAAAAAAAAAAAAAAAATCTAACATCTACCTTCCAACCTTTCTGATGTTAAAAAAAAAAAAAAAAAAATGCTATTTGTAGGCAAAATGGGCAAAAAGACAAAAAAAAAAAAAAAAAAAATCAGCACAGCTCAGACTGCGCCACGGCATTAAAAAAAAAAAAAAAAAAAGATTCCATCTCCAAAATATATAAAATAAAATAAAAAAAAAAAAAAAAAAATAAAATAAAATATCATCCTAGTTAGGGCTATAAAAAAAAAAAAAAAAAAGGGCCCAGATCCTGGGGTCACTACTACAGAGTAAAAAAAAAAAAAAAAAACAGACCAGGGTTATAAAACTGGCAGCCAACTACTCTAGAAACTCCCAACAGATTTCCTAAAAGATTTCCCTGCCTGCTGGAAAAAAAAAAAAAAAAAAAAATCCAAACGACTGGGCCCCAGCACCTTGCTACAAAAAAAAAAAAAAAAAATCTTGCAGTCGCCTCTTGCTCATGCCTTTGCGAAAAAAAAAAAAAAAAAACACTTTGGCATTCTGTGCATATGAGTCAGCAAAAAAAAAAAAAAAAAAAAAAGGAGCATCCTTAAACCAGAAGTCTCACCAAGGAATAACAACAAAGACCTTAAGTCATAATGTATACTACTCAAATCATGAAAAAAAAAAAAAAAAAAAAGGACTCTGTTCCTTTTCCATTCTCCATCTTTAAAAAAAAAAAAAAAAAATTAGGGTATTTTTTTGGGGGGAGGGAGGCGGAAAAAAAAAAAAAAAAAAATGTTTTTATTTTTTTTGAGACGGAAACTGACTAAAAAAAAAAAAAAAAAATGCAGTGACACAATCTCAGCTCACTGCAACCTAAAAAAAAAAAAAAAAAATAATTCTTCAGTAGCATTTACATTTTAACTGAAACATTTGTAAAACAGCAGATGACATCTCGCCATCAATATTATACTGAAGAAAAAAAAAAAAAAAAAATACTACTACTGAGGACAGACTCACAAACCATCAAAAAAAAAAAAAAAAAAACCTGAAATCATTCAGTCCAGTAGTTTCTCAAATTAAGAGGGATGAGGACTTTGCCCTCTAAGGCGTCTCTAAAAATAGTATAAAAAAAAAAAAAAAAAAGATCTCATCCAACTCCTTCGTTTTCATTTTACAAAAAAAAAAAAAAAAAAAGGAAACAGGAATGAGCTCACTGTCATAGTTTAAAAAAAAAAAAAAAAAATTTTTTTTTTTTGAGACAGAGACCTGCTCTGTAAAAAAAAAAAAAAAAAATGGCGCAATCTCGGCTCACTGCAGCCTCCACCAAAAAAAAAAAAAAAAAACTCATGCCTCAGCCTCCTGAGTAGCTTGGATTAAAAAAAAAAAAAAAAAAACCCAGTTAATTTTTTTGTATTTTTAGTAGAAAAAAAAAAAAAAAAAAAAGGCCAGGCTGGTCTTGATCTCCTGACCTCATGAAAAAAAAAAAAAAAAAACCCAAACTGCTGGGATTACAGATGTCAGTCACCGCGCCCAGCCCACAGTTTCTTATCAGCAAAGCAGGGTCTCAAAGTGAAGAAAAAAAAAAAAAAAAAACTCCAAGGCTCCAACTCCAGAGTCCCCTTTCCAAAAAAAAAAAAAAAAAAAATTCCAGTTTCCTTAAGACCAGAGACACTTAAAAAAAAAAAAAAAAAAACCTCTTCATCAATGGTAGACACAGTGACAGAAAAAAAAAAAAAAAAAAAATTGGTCCGTTTGGTCATCATCACCTGGAGTGGCAGGCAAGAAGTCAGTCCGGTTCATCAAAACAGGATCCATGAGCCGTGAGAAAAAAAAAAAAAAAAAACGTGAGGGGCTGTGGGTACTGGGGGAAACACTAAAAAAAAAAAAAAAAAAGACCTATTTAAAAGTGCCAATGTTTTTATTTACATATTTTTCTAACATTTGCCATCAAAGGCTCTTTTTTTTATTATTACTTAAAAAAAAAAAAAAAAAAAGGGTCTCACTCTGTTGCCCAGGCTGGAATACAAAAAAAAAAAAAAAAAACACTGCAACCTCAAACTCCTGGGCTCAAGTGAAAAAAAAAAAAAAAAAAAACACTTAGCTAGGATTACAGGCATATGCCACCAAAAAAAAAAAAAAAAAAATTTTTTGTAGAGACTGGGTCTCGCAAAAAAAAAAAAAAAAAAAAAAAAAGGTATAAAAAAGCATCCTTAACGCTTAATGTCAAAAAAAAAAAAAAAAAACCTGGCCTCAGGCAATCCTCCTGCCTCAGCCTCCCAAAGTCCTAGGATTACAGGCAAGAGACACTATGCATGGTCCATCATGAAAAAAAAAAAAAAAAAATTAATTACTTTTTTTTTTTTTTGAGGTGGAGTAAAAAAAAAAAAAAAAAACCTGGAGTGCAATGGCACGATCTCAGCTCCGTAACCTCCACTTCCTGGGTTCAAGCGATTCTCCTGCCTCAGCCTCCTAAGTAGCTGGGATTACAGGCATGCACCACCACGCCCAGCTAATTCTGCATTTTTAAAAAAAAAAAAAAAAAATCCATGTTGGTCAGGCTGGTCTCAAACTCCTGAAAAAAAAAAAAAAAAAAGCCTCGGCCTCTCAGAGTGCTGGGATTACAGGAAAAAAAAAAAAAAAAAATCCAATTAATTTTTTTTTTTTTTTTTTTTTT